TGAATCAATGAACAATAAAGAAGTAATGCATACAAGTATTTTTCAATCTGTGCATAGTGTTTTTGAGTATTTGTCAAGGATTTGGATGAAACTGATTTGCTATGGCCAAAAATGACTGACTGCTTCACTTACTCTAAAATGCGTTTTCAAAGGATAAAACACAAGCACTACAGGACAATCCTCAAGGCGTTCTCAGAGCGATGCCTGTGCGAAAGTAGCGATTCACACCGTAACATGACTTCAAATTTAATTTTATGACTCTTCAGCCAATTATAAAACTCGGTTAGTAAAAATTATCTAATACGAACCTCCAATTCTTCAGTCCACGTGTACTAGTTGGCAGAACCGTTATTTTTGAAAATATGATCTTAAGGTTTGGTTTTTCTATTGTTAGTACTTTAATGAAATGAATGAAAACACTTTCGTCTAATTACCACTGGTAGGTTTCTATTACTACCAGAACTAGTCATAGAGAATGATTGATTTTACTCAGACACTTCTTTTTTTATAATCTGGCAGTGTACTGGATGAATATTTAAATTGTTGTTGCTTTTACATGCATGAAGAATTGCAATTCCTTCAGCATTCTACCAGTAGTAATTATACAAAAGTGTCTTATTCATTTCATTAAAGTGATCATGAATTACCATAAAATAAACGAGTCATTAACGACCAGATGATATGTCTTTCATACCATGGAAATGCGGTAAACCTGTGTTATGGGACTTCACTTGCGTTGACACGGTCGCGGCTTCCCATCTAGCCGGAAGTTCGAAGTCTGCTGAACTGTAGCATGTCTGGCGAGAAATTGAAAAGGAAAAAATACTAAAATCTTGGTAACAACTATCTGTTCCATCCAATAGCGGTTGAAACTTTTGGTGTTTATGGCCCGGAGTCTCTGTTATTCGTTCATGAACTCAGAAGGAGAATAGGCCAAGCAACGAAAGATCACCGTTCTACATTTTTTTTTATAGAAATAATTAGTATTGCTATTCAACATGGTAATGCTGCTTCGGTCCTTGGAACTATTCCTCCTTCACATAATTTTGATGAGATCATGCATTGCCCTAATTTCAGTACGGAACTGAAATCTCTTCGAAACAAGCCGAGATATGAGTTGCAGTCCTCGCAGTTCTGGCTCCGTTTCAGTGAAAGAGCTCCATGAAGCAAGAGCCGAATCGATCCCTCTACGAAATCCTTCTTCATTTGGTAGGATCGATCGCAGCTTGAGAAATGGTTCTTATGGAGATTCTGTGAAACATGTTTTTTCTTACGAATCAGTAGAGTTCTCCTGAAAATCTAGAGAAGAAAATTGGATTGGGTAATTTAGGAAACACTTGCTACATGAATAGTATTTGACAAGTGTTGTTCATCACAAAGAATGAACGAGAACGGGAATGTTTCCTACTCATTCATCAAACTCAAACACCTGTTCATGCAGCTGCAGTTTCGTAAGAATGTATCATCTTTCCCTCCAACCGATTTCCTGGAATCTTTGAAGTCCACTAGATACTCGTTAGAACAACAAGAGGATTCTTCCGAATTCTTGGGGTTCTTGTTGAATAACTTCGTGAGTAAAACAATAGCAAAATCAATACTCCTGACCGCTCTGGNTTTCAATCTGTGCATAGTGTTTTTAAGTATTTGTCAAGGATTTGGATGAAACTGATTTGCTATGGCCAAAAATGACTGACTGCTTCACTTACTCTGAAATGCGTTTTCAAAAGACAAAACATAAGCACTACAGGACAATCCTTAAGGCGTTCTCAGAGCGATGCCTGTGCGAAAGTAGCGATTCACACCGTAACATGACTTCAAGTTTAATTTTATGACTCTTCAGCCAATTATAAAACTCGGTTAGTAAAAATTATCTAATACGAATCTCCAATTCTTCAGTCCACGTGTACTAGTTGGCAGCGACGTTATTTCTATGTATTGGATTTTTTGGCCTTTGAGGTGCTGATAGATTTAACTATTCACAACTATTCATCGGTTACTTCGACTGTACCTCAAACGGGACTAACTTCAAGAACATACTACAAGTTCATGAATAAAGTGAATTGTGAAATAATAACGACTATTTTCAAATGGGATGGTTAGGTTACTTCACGGTGAATGCTTTTTTTCAACTGTTGATGTATATAGGGCGTTCCAACGAAAATTTGACCACCCTGTGAGTCAAAAACGATGTAATCAAACATTTCAAAGAACACGTCAATTTTTATTTCCAGATGGACTAATTCTGACATGGAAATCATATCCGAAACTTCACCCCCCTGCGGTCAGCAGGTGGGTGGCTTGGGGGTCGAGAGATACATCATTTGAAAGATCTTTCGTCCTTCTATTACCTCGGTATTTTTTTTGAAATTGGTTCATTTCTTATTGAGAAATTGAATGTTGAACGTTTTATTTAAGAACAATCAGAAAATTCACTGTCGTTCATTTTAATGAGTAAATCAACAACAAATGATATCAGTGGAATCAAAATCAACGCATAAATTGTTCAAAATGATCTCCAGCTAGTGCTATACAAAAATACAGTCTACTCTCGAAAGCGTTCCGTACATTATTCAAGATGTCCGAAGTCAGCAATCGGCATTCCCGAACAATTCTCTGTCGCAGGTCTTCTAGATTTCTAGGTTTAGTAGAGTACATTTTCAACTCAAGGTGTCCCCACAGAAAGAAGTACATCGGTGTGAGATCAGGTGATCAAGCTGGTGACTCCACTCGACCCTTTCTGCCGATCCAACGCATTGGAAAACGTTCGTCCAAAAACTGTCTCACTCGAACATCAAAATGTGGGGGTGTACCATCCTGCTGTAGATCCACTTGTCCAATTCATTTTTTGTCATGTGAGCATCGTTTTTGCTTTTTTCTTTCAGTAAAGGCCAAATTGAAAAGTTCACCCCGAAAAGTTACTGGAAAGTCTACTGGAAAGTCTAATTAGTCAGTAACTTGTCGTATTCATGAATTTTGACAGAAAAATTGAAAGAAAATAATTGAAAAAATTAAATACTTAGCTTTTTTAAGTGGTTAACATTTCGTAAAACAATCCATTTCTGTTTTCAAAACCAATATTCTCTATGAAAATCTCGCCTCAAACTGTAATATTCCTGACTTTTTTGACACAGTATAAAATATTGAGTCCTCCACAAAAGTGTCGTTTGAAGAATATGTATCTACTGTTTGATGAAAAATATAATTTTCTTGTATTGCATGTTGTTTTTCAACATAACTCGCTTATTTTTGTTGTTAGAAACTCAAAAAACTTATCTGGAGGCTATTATAAGCGTTTAAAACAGTTTCCTTTTGAAAATGTATTGAATTTTGGTTACTTTATGTTGAAACTATCAAAAAGTATTGATTTCCAGAAAAACACTTCATAGAACAATAATTGTGGGGGATCAGCATTCTATCCATTCTTCGGCTTATTTTCAATTAAACAATTTTCAACCCATAGAACGGGTGGCATACAGGGAAAGAGCAACTTCCACTACATGAACTAATGTACATGATGACCTAAATTTCACTCAACACTGCTGCTATTTGGCAAAATTATACCTACTGGAAAATGGATTTCAACTGGACAATAGCGAAATATCACAAAAAAGATAATATTTCATTGAACGTCACTGAACAAGTTTCATTATGTTTTTGAAGGTCAGCATTTGCAAACAAGTCTGAGAAAATTAGTGTATCGTATAAGAGGAAAATTATGTGACGTCACTCACTACACACGCTAACGGAATAATAGTTGAATGTTGAGGGACGAACTTCAGTAGTAACAGGTTAAAATTCAAATTCCAAACCATCGAATGGAGCAGAATTATAAATCGGCAGAATCGATAAATTTCGGATAGGCTGCACCAGCCAAATTCGAAAAAAAATGTGTATACTTATGTATTTAGACGTGTTACTCTGGAAATAAGGGAGAGCACCGATTTTTTCTTTCGTATTCATAATCGACACGTCAAGAATTTTCTGAGTTTATAAACGTTATAAATGCATTCAAAATTGAGGCTACTAAATTTTCTCGCAGAAGCAGAGGCCGCATCCTCGCTTCTGTTGCGGCTGACTTCCGGATTAGACTGAATATCAGTCAAAGTATGGAATGATTTCGTTAATAATAAGATGGTTATTCTTGATAGTTGCTTTGACCCCGTTACGTTCAGCAATATTGAGGTAATAAAGGACATAAATCGTTGACTGCAAAGATGTTTTTTTAGTTGCTACTGATTTTTTGTGATTTCAAATTCATTCAAATAGTATCAGTTCGAGTTTTAGTATCCGCTTTTTGATCTTATTCTCGAAAGGATATATATTATCAACATTAGCTAAATCGATGGGTGATTCAAGAAGATGGCTTAAAGAAAGGGTTTCACTATTGTCTCCTTTTTCGATACCAAAAACTAAAAAAATATTACGCCAAAATTTGTGGTCCTGTGACTGTACGACTTTCTTCAAATTAATATTATCTTTTTCGAGGAGTGATATTTTATCGTTGACACCTAGTAATTCATATTTGATATCGGCAAATTTCTCGTCCAGGTTCATAAATAGATAGATAGATCATAAATAGCAGTCAAGGAAAGTATTGGCCAATGTTTATACCAATTATTGTTCTAGCACCAGTGCTAATACAGAAGTTAGCTCATCAGAGGTGATCGTTTTTTGTCGTTTTTGTGAAACAAAAATTGTTTTTGTTGAAATCGGGGTTAGATTCCAATGTAGGAAGTAATCCTTATGTTAACGCTTAGTCAGCGTTTGAATAAAAAAAGTTGTTAACAGTAGATTTTAGTATTCTCAAGAGCAGTTCAAATAGACGTTTTCACTAGACATGGTTTTCTCTCTCTGTTTCTACACACAACATTTTTCCAAAATCGGCGGGTGCAGCCTAACCATAGTTTTAGTATCATTTTTACTTGTGGTTTTTCTCATGCTGAATTATACTTTATTGGTGGTTCAAACAAATTCACTACTTGAAAACAATTTTTTTTCAGTATTCAAGAAAATGCCAAAGCCATTTTGGAAGAGAAAAAACGTGATGAAAAATTCAACGAAATTATAGTTAGTTGTAAATCATTGAGTCATTATGAAGGAAACACCTTCAAAACCCTTGTACCACAGGTAAGTGTCACACAATGTTTGTTTATTTTTAAACGGTTTAATTCAGCATGATCTGTTTGTTTATTTATTTGTTTAGGTCAAATTCAGTACACACATTTAGTTCTGATGACAATACAATTTAATAAATTTTGTATCATTGTAAACCCAAGATGGCTGCAGCTACAAAATGGCGGATTACATAGTTTTTCACAACTACCTCAATATTGGTCTCGAATGACAGGACTTGATTAGTCGAATAGTAGTACACTTTGAAAAATATGCAAATTCAAGATGGCCGCAGCCACAAAATGGCGGATTACATTTTTTCACAACTACTTCAATATGGGTATCAAATGATGGGGCTTGACTAGTACTATGGTAGTACACTATGAAAAAGATGCAAATCCAATATAATCTATACAAAGAACTTTGTCAACTCAGAATTTGTATCGTGTCGAGGACTGTGTGGCGTTAGGGTGGCTAAAAATGATACGTCGTGAGCGATACACCACCCAAGGTCAAGTAAAAGGTTGGAACGTGCCGAGAACTGTGTGGCGTAAAGGTGTTTAAAAATTAGAAACTGGAAACTTGAAAATAAAATAAACAAAAAAATGTTTTATGTTGAACGGTTTTATTGAAAAATGTACTAAAAACTAAAAAATAATTTGGAAGGTCCTAGGTAGCAGTCATCACACCTCTCTCATCAGCAATCTACGGTACTGGTCGGATGAAAAAATAATAAAATCGTTGGGCGTAGTATCTACATATTTATTCAGGTTACGCTACGTTCAACGATTTTATAATTTTTTTAACTGATCAATCCCGTAGATTGCTGGGGCGAGCGGTGTGATGACTGCTACCTAGGACCTTACGAATTATTTTTCAGATTTTAGTATATTTTTCAGTAAAACCGTTTAACATACTATTTTTTACTTATTTCATTCGATATGAGGTTTTGTTTACTTATGCACTTTCCTGTATTTGAGCATCACTCACATTGTTTGAATGACTCTAATACGATACAATTTTACATTTTTCATGCTTGAAAATTCAAGATGGCCGCAGCCACAAAATGGCGGATTACATTTTTTCACAACTACTTCAATATGGGTATCAAATGATGGGGCTTGACTAGTACTATAGTAGTACACTATGAAAAAGATGGAAATCCAATATAATGTTAAAACGGTTTTATTTACATATTTATTCAGGTTACGCTACGCCCAACGATTTTATAATTTTTTTAACTGATCAATACCGTAGATTGCTGGGGCGAGCGGTGTGATGACTGATACCTAGGACCTTACGAATTATTTTTCAAATTTTAGTATATTTTTTTGTAAAACCGTTTAACATACTTCTTTTACTTATTTCATTCGATATTAGGTTTTGTTTACTTATGCACTTTCCTGTATTTGAGCATCACTCACATTGTTTGAATGACTCTAATACGATACAATTTTACATTTTTCATGCTTGATACACAGGATTTCTCTACTTGGTATTATTATCTTTTTTACAGGTTATGGCTGCTTTCATCGCAGCAGCATACCACATAGCCGTAGGAATTTCTCTAGCTTACTCAGGAATTTTAATACCTGCCTTGGATCGAAATGATACTAATGACACCGGTGATGACGAATTGCGAGCATCTAAATCCGAATGCTCTTGGATAGGTAATTTATATTTTTTACTATGTAGATACACATGTTTAATGTGATATCACTATTGAAAATGTAAATGAACGATTACTTGATACGATATGAAGAATGATATACAATCATAATAATATAATGTAGAGTTAACAACTCGCGGAACAAATCATCTTTTACATGATGGAGATTTTTGTTTATAGTAGGTATATACGAAGTCAATTCGAATGGCATAAAAACTAAATAGTTACCGAACGTCGGCAGTTCCTCTTTAAGGCATGGGCGGCGTCATATAATTTACGAGGTCTAATCTTTATTTTTATGTGAGAGGTTATATATGATATTAACTGGTAAATTTATTAGACCCGGTGCATTAGTATTTTGTCGACTTCGTATAGACTAAACTTAATAATGACGTAATTTTGTTTCAATTCAAATTCATTCTTGAACTAATAGTCTTCATAAATTCTGTTTTTTCAATCCAAAGTAAATTGGGAAATTCAATCTAAATTAAAAAATAGAATCAAATTCACGATGAACTTGAAATTACTGAGACTCAATAGTTGCAGTATGCTACCGGCCTCAAGGTTTTAACTCTTTAACTTTTCAACCACCAAAGTTTTAGGTGAAAATTTTCATTTTTTATTATGATATGACCATGTGCAACATTTCGTCAAATCCACATACTTTGGGACTTTTGATCACATTTCATGGTTTTCGATGAACTTTCTGAAGCATCTGAAAACTAGTTGGCTTTCTCCGTTCTTAACAATTTCAAGTATTTTCACTTTGGACGTTCTGTAAGGCATGGGAAACTGAATTTATGAAACATGTTCCTATATACATCATATATACATCATAGTTGAAAATAAATTGGGAAATTCAATCTGAATTAAAAAAAAGAATTAAATTCACGATGAACTTGAAATTACTGAGACTCAATAGTTGCAGTATGCTACCGGCCTCAAGGTTTTAACTCTTTAACTTTTCAACCACCAAAGTTTTAGGTGAAAATTTTCATTTTTTATTATGATATGACCATGTGCGACATTTCGTCAAATCCACATACTTTGGGACCTTTGATCACATTTCATGGTTTTCGATGAACTTTGTGAAGCATCTGAAAACCAGTTGGCTTTCTCCGTTCTCAACAATTTCAAGTATTTTTCACTTTGGACGTTCTGTAAAGCATGGGAAACTGAATTTATGAAACATTTTCCTATATACATCATATTCTAAATCCTTATCGGAGTTTCTTATAACTAGAACATCCAGGAATGCATTATTTTCAGTTAAAATATATGATAGGGAAAATAACTATTGTTTAATTTCTACAAAGATTTCTATTTGTTACGACCGATTTCGGTTTATTAAACCATTTTCAGTTTCATATGTGATTTATATTTGGTAATCTTATTGGGAGAAGACACAAAATCCACCACCTTACCTACATTTCAAATCTGCCCATGAACAAATTAGCCATGCTGTTTGTAAAAACAGCGAAATGAAAGCAATTCTGTTCCATGCATATTGGTATGAGCTGGATGTATTCCTTCAACTATTTCAGCACATAGTTCATTTATTTGTGAAAGATCCTTCAGATATTCAATTGTGTTCGATATGGAGACACAAATCCGGCATGAACGTCAAAGGCGAGAATTGAAAATTATTCATAGGTTCATACCAAAGAGTTTGACATGTTCGTATGAACTTATTTCTTAAAATTGACCCAAAAATACCTCCTTTGAATATTAGGATGTTATTAAAAACACCCTTTATAATGAAGGTTCAACAATAATTGCATATTCAATGAATGAATCAGGTTTCTCAAACAATATCGTTTTAAAAAAAAATAGTTCCTTCTTATGTGATAATGTAATTGTATCGATTTGATATGCAGCACTATGCATCAGTTTGTGAAAAATGAAGATTCCCAAAAAGTCAACAAAATCTGTTTCCTCGCCGACTAAAATGACTTTGAGTCGATGATTGGGAAAATGTTATTTTCATTAGTTAGAAGGTATTCACTTATTACTTTCACCCTATATTGAACATCTGTTACCATTTTCCTATAGTTTTTTACCTAATTATTTACATTTTTCAGCCAGTGTCGTGGTTATCGTTGTTCCACTGGGTGCAATCAGTGGCGGCTTGATAATGGATTCAATGGGGCGCTTGAATACGTTAAAATTAGCTACTATACCATCCGTGATAGGTTGGTCAATGATTGCAAGTGCCCCGAATATTCCAATGATCATTTTAGGAAGGCTTCTTGTCGGATTCGCTACTGGTAAGTTGATAAATGCTCAAATTGGCCATCAAATCGTGTTTAACAAAACAAACCATCGGATATTCTTTACAAATATTTCCACAAATATCGGTCTATATTCGTTCAGTTTTTTCTAATAGAAATATGTGAAATTCTAATAATTAGAATAGCTGGTAGAAATTATTCCATTCATTCAATATCGATTGCAGCTTAACTGCACTATTGAAATTTTTATTGTTCGTTTTTGTTACATTCAAGAGAGTGTAAGAATGTACATTTCGAATGCTTCTGGGTCTTGTTGAATACTCTTCGTGAGCAGGAAAATAGCAGAATCAATACTCCTGACTGCTCTGGATTGAATGATTCCTCACTAGTTCACTTTGTAGTACATGTTCAAGAAGAAACAAAAACGTACGTGACTTTCTGGACCTTGAACTAGTGTTTCCTAATATGACTGATAACCAATCCGTGCAAAGCTTATTGTGAAATCATCTGAAAATATAACTTTTAACGGCAGATGATGAACTGTATTTCCAAATATGTGCCAAAGTAAGTGACTATTATTAGACAACAAGTATAGCTGAGGCACCAGTCAATCTAAGGATGATCTTCAAACATGACTCAACCTCTGACGGAAGCACCAAACTCTTTCGCATGAACGAAATAGATGAACACTTCAATCTAGCAAACCACTATTATAATCTTCATGCAGTCATTGTTCACTGTGGTTTTAACAGAACTATTTTGTTTTACTATTGAAGAATACAGTCTTGTAGCAAGTATAAATTTCAAACGAACCATATCGTGAATATCATTTCATACGATGACTGAATTAACCAAAATAGGTTTCAGAATCTGAAAATAAGCAACCCTACCACCCCCTCTCTCAATACAGTTCTCTCTCCAACAAAATTGTTTGAACTCCTGCTTCCAGTTGAAGTTAAATGATTTTATCACGGAGTTTCTTTTGATAACAAAAAACCTGTTTCTGTAAGGATAACTAGAGCATTTGGTAGGTTGTCGCTTCGCCTTTGATGATTCATACCGCAGCTTCTAGAGGAAACGTCAGGTCATAGCTTTTAAAAAGTTAACTTTGTAGTTGTTCAGGTCACCAATTCTATCACTGAGTTAAAATAATCCTTTTAGCGGAAAGCCCAAATTACTATCACAAAAATCAATTCACATTCGCGACTACAAAAAATGAGTCTCGGTATGATCCTATTTAGGAATATTGTATACAAAAGGTTACCCAAAAGCTCAGCTTGCACTTCTTACATCAAGTGGATTTCAGTCAGAGATTGTAGGAAGTTTCCCACGGCTTACCAAAATGGAATCTCTAATACCTTGAATTAAAAACACCTGATATCTGTATTCATTTCATTTGGACAAGTTCAGCAAATGCGCTTTCAGCCTTTATCCAAAGCCATATTGCCTCACTAAGAATGTTGGATATTGATGAGATACCAGTTGTATGTGAATTCCGTTGTAAAGAATGAATTTTATGGAAGTACTAGTTTCCAATTCTTATGGACCTTTACCTGTACTCCTCCTGATCAATCAGAATAAGATAATATATGACATGAAGTTTTTGGCATACAACAAATAATGATTTTGATTGTAGTCCTTGGCCTTTGTTACTCTCGAAATTTAAGTTGTCCTGGCTTACATTAAAACGGATGAGATGAACAATAACTGTCTGTTTTAGTCAAATAATTTAAAGGCACCTATCCATTTGTATCAAAAGGCCCGTAACGTAATCGTGAAAATGTTACGTTACAGCCAGTGGAATCGAAGTATTGTAGCATGTTAGCCGTAACCACTTCAATACGTGCGACTACCACATGCCAGGCCAATATTTGTCTATTGTTAACTGTCACATCAAAGGACTGTTAAGTTACACACGGCAACAGATAGTGACACGTATGAAGGTATCGCGTAACTTTGCCTATTGCATGGGGTGTTGCTTCGTAACGTTCGATTACATTACGGCAAAAATTGACACGGCCAAAATTCAAAATGCTTTCTGTCGAAAGCGAACCATGCCATCTTACAACGAGCCAAACACGTTCAGTGATATCTTAGGGATAGTAGCTCATGTGGATACGCACCTTTAGATGAATAGTAAATAATTGAGCTAGTGAATTATGAATTATGTTTCGGGTACATCCACTCATTATTTATTTTTACAAGTCTCCGTATCCATTTCACATCCTAGGGAGAAATCATTTCGGATATTTTCGTAACATAAACAAAATGTTATGAACAAAAAAATGTTTCTGACGAAAGAAAGTTTAAGGATCAATAAAACCACGTTACACAATAACTATTTTGGTCAGAACACATATTTATTTTGTTTTGCTGCAAAAACGTAATTTTATTGATTGCAATAAAAATGTTGAAATGTACTTTACTCTCTCTCAACTAATTTAACGAAATCTTCAGTTACTTTGAAAGAAGATCTGAACAAACTCTTATGGTGACCTCAAAGTTCCCATCTCACTACTTGACTTACCTCAGATATTGCAATTATTGGTTGTTGTTACATTTTCGAAATGAAATAGTCACTTCACGGTTACCAAAATCAGTTTAATGACTGTGTCGAGGAGGGCTACATATTGAAAAATAAATATTCCATAATCGGTCTGTAGGTGATCTACTCGATTGATTTCAGCGATGTTCTGCTGCTGGGCAAACGGAAGAATTTGCAGAAAGTTTTTCAATAAGAAAACTTGCATGAATGTCTGCCGGATGTGATTCAATAACTTTCGTGGTACTAGCCAAGGAAGAAGTTTTCCGGCAGACATTCAGCAGATACAGCCCAACAATATTTTGTGAATATATGAGTCTTCATCGTGCACACGAAATTGCAAACTAAATAAAAATATTCGAAAACCATTGTAAAATAATTTTGACATTTCCCCCGAATATTATTCAGATTGATAGATGAAGAAATAGGTTGACATAAAAATAAGTGATGACAAAATTGTTCAAATTTAACGTAATGATTCACTTTATACGAACAAAAAATGTCGGATATTCCGTGGAAAGGAATAAAGAATTCAACGTAAAAATTAATTCTGCAAAACATGTGTAGATCATGCAAAGAAGTTTCTCTCAGAGACAAACTGGAAGGATATTCCTTTCATAAACAACTACATTTTCATGAACATGAAAGTACACGAAAGAAAACAGTCCGTTCGATATAGCAAAATGGAAATATACGCATATAATAGATATCATTCAATCATTGAGATTTTCAATTGAATAAATTGATGATACCCTACAACAAGTATTCAACAATTTAATATTATTCGTATCGTTATAAGTCGTCATTTTGGAGTCTTGTACATAGGGTAGCTGAAATATGCTTGTTTCAATTAAATGTGGTCAACTGTTTGTAATGAAATGAACAAAGAAAAACATTCTTTAGAAACTCGTTTTCTGATAGTAAAATCAAATTCTCACCTATATTATTGGGTGGATATTAATTATTGAGTAGCTCTATACCATACTATTATTGTAGTATAAATATTATTATTACAAATAGTTTGAAAGAAAACTTTTACTATTCTATAGACCAAACTATATTTGGATTGAGGTATTGTGGAAGTACATTGAACCTTTCTCCTGGTCGCATAAAAGAAAACAGTATAATCAAGGAAATTGTGTCGTTGTCGCTTACAAAAGTTATCACAAGAACGTCGTCACACTACATCAGAATAATGTAGTTTCTCTCATTTCTGGACAG